TGAACCACGGACTGGGAAGCCGGTTAGCGTGCTAAACAGTAGCCTGTTTGAGCCGCACGGTTTGGACATTCAAACTAGTTCTGACTGCACGCATCGCTTCAGTCAGCGTGTTATTGAATTGTACGAGATAGCGCTTTAGTTGGCCATGTGCACGAAGACCGTTTGGTTGAGTGGTCCAAACATTTTGTGTTGCAACTTTAGCCACGTGTATTAGTGAAGCAGCGGCCTGTTGTGTGGGAACGTTCTCTGCAAAGTGGTACTAACCATCCATGAAAACACGGCACTTTATTGTCGAAGGTACGAATTTACACACTTATTATTTAAGCGTGTGCGCTCGTGCACGTATGACATTGATGAAGTGAATCTTTTCAGGTGCAGCAGCATATCGCCATCACCTGGGCCGGTGGACTCCCCGACGTCAAGAAGTCCGAAGCATCTGGTTTGTGTTACGTGAACGACATTGTCCAAGTAAGAAAAAACGTGTCATTCTTTTTATCAGCGGAAATGAAACTTTTGGACAGCATTTACGGAGTGCTGTGAAATGTTTACAGGACATCGGTGCTGGAAAGGGCACATACTACGCTGTGAATGACCCACTCAGAGATGGTATCAACGATAAGTCGTACGAGGCCGTCTTTAAACCGGTAAGTGTAAAGAGTTCGATTTTATTTTTCCCCAACTTCTGTGGACACGTTTTTAAAATGCGTCTTGGTTTTAGATCTTGTCCAAAGATGTACCAGCTGAGCGCAGTGGTCCTTCAGTGTGGAGCCGATTGAACGTTACCATTAAAGGTATGAAAAGAAATGGATTTAACGCCTTTCACAGGTATTGACAAAGGAGTGACACCAACTGGACAAATTCAGTACAGACACGATTAATCGAAACAGTCTTAGAAGTGATTTGATTGCATTGTGTATGCAGTTTCAGTAAATGATCATGCTAAAGAGTTTTAGCATTTTGTTGAAACTGCAACCTTTTATTGTTGAGAAATATCCACGTTCCCCATCAGGTGGAGTTTCTTAGTGCACGTCAATGCTTTTGTTATTAAGAGTTTAACATGATGTTGTGTACTCCTTTTAGGCCCCGCCAGTGAGCAACCATTTTAGTTTGAGTCCACGACCAAAGAATAGCCTGTGAGGAGGACGTTGCAGTAATGCTGCCAACCAAGGGG